TCAAACAAAATTTTTATGCATTTTGGATTCAGCCATTGGCGTGTTCTGGAGGCGGGGCGCATGACGTCATATAACTCCGCACGTGTTGGGCGCCACCATCTCGGTGTATATCTAGGTATACACCAAGATGGCGGCACCTATATTTGCGTCGCCATCTTGGTGACGTCATGCTCCCCGCCTCCAAGATGGTGGCAAGTATTCGCAGAACGCTCCGGTGGCCAACATGGCCGCCGCGCATTCTCAAACAAATTATTATGATTATTATTATGCGCCGAATACATTTTTCGTATATTCGGACAAATACCCTGTTTCCCCAAAAATAAGACCTACCCCGAAAATAAGACCTAGTACTATTTTTGGGAATTGCTAAAATATAAGACCCACCCCGAAAATAAGACCCGGCTGTGACCATTCCCAGGGCCGGTGGTGACACAAGGGGGAAAGACCCGCGGGAGAGGCAGGAGAGAATCAGCGGTGCCAACGAAGCCAGCGCTAGAGGAAGCGAGGCGGCAGCTGAGGGAGCAGAGCCGCATAAGCCGACGCCTCCTCTATAGCCCCGCCTCCTGTCACAGGCGGAGTCATACCAAATGCACTTCGCCTGTGAGGAATCATAGTGAAAGCGCGCTTCGCTCATTCTGGCCAGCGATTGGTTAGCAAATTGCTCTCGGAAAGGTACGGCCCCCCTGATTGCCCTGATCACCATATTTTTGTACATGAATAAGTGTGGATTGTTGTACAGTAAAAAAATTAAAGATAAGACCTCCCCCGAAAATAAGACCTAGTGTGTTTTTGTGAGCAAAAAAAATATAAGACAGTGTCTTATTTTCGGGGAAACACGGTAGTAATTAATTAATTTAATATGTAGTCCGGGTTTTGTGTTCTGTTTTTTATTTTGACTTTTCTAGATGCACTTACTTGAAGAAAGGGATCGGCATGACAACCGGACACTTTATTGTTGAAGACTCTATTGTAGTTTGACATTTATTGTTTGCCTTCTGTTGTTTTATTTAATAAGAAGACTTCTATTGTGTCGACAAGTTTAATAGCTTTGAATAAAAGTTTTATTTTTTATCATACTTTTTAATATGTTTCTTTGCAGCTTAACAAAATAGGAGTCTTTAAATCAGGGGTAGCAAAACTCCGGCCCTCCAGCTGTGGTGAAACTATAAATCCCATGATGCATCTCTCTTCAGGAGTCATGTCTGTGGCTGTCAGAATCTTGCAATACCTCGTGGGATTTGTAGTTCCACCACACCTGGAGGGCCGGAGGTTTGCTTCCACCTGCGGCCCTCCAGCTGGTGGAAGCAAATGGTGCGGATATTGGGGGAAACGGGTGTGCTTACTGAGGGGTGTGGTTACTGAGGGGCACTGTAAAGCTTTCTCGCACAGGGCGCCTAAAGGAAAGTTCGAACTTATCGAGTTCTGCGACCGCCTGACTTCCGATTATGTTACGACTAAGGGGTTTGCCCAAGAAAGTTGTTCTGCACGAGTGCCAGCCAAGGCATTGCCCTATACACATACAAGCACAGCAATGAATAAAATGAACTAGGATCACACTAATCCAGCACGTTATTAATTAGAGTTGCCCCACACAAGCGGCGGCCATATTGAGTGGGGCACCGGAGATTAATAACATGCTGGATGAGTGTGTTCCTAGTTCATTTTATTACTTCATTGCTGTGCTGTATGTGTATAGGCCAATGCCTTGGCTGGCGCTCATGCAGAACAAGTTTCTTGAGCAAACCTATTAGTGCTAAGGAAACCGGAAGTCAGGCGGTCACAGAACTCGATGAGTTCGAACTTTCGATCGAACTGCGGCCCTGCATGAAGGAGATGTCTATCATCACACAGGAAGGATTGGGAATGAACACTGAGATTTATTGATTCCATTCTTATTATCATTCCATTCCCGTGTCGACCATTTATATAATCGAGGCCGCCTGGTAACACCTTCGCGTTGCTCCTCCGAACCGGAACTGAATGTCGTCGGGGCGAGGGAGGGCTTTCTGTGTTGCACGTTCAAAGCGGAAGTGTGTGTCGCCGCACGTGTGTAGAAGTTAGAGCGGAGCTGATGCTATGGGGAAGGAGAAGGTGAGGGGATGGTGTACAACTGAGTTCAGAAAGAGGGATGGGAGTTGTTTGTTGTGTAGTGGAGGCGGGTGTCCTCAGTTGGGGCATCGGCTGTGTATAGTGGGGAAAGGGGGTTTTCATGTGGGGTATCTGCTGTGTGGTGGATGGGAGTGTCGTCAGTTGGGGTATCTGCTGTATGTAATGGAGTAAGGGAAGTATTACTGGAATGGTGGGAGGTTTTTTCTGCCCATAGTGGGGGGATCTAAAGCCCCTCAGAGTACAGCGGGTATTGTGTGTCTCACGCCTCTTCACCTCCTCCAGACAAAGAACCAGAAGAAGCTGCGAGCCGTCTCCGTCCACAATGCGGAGGAAGACTATTCCGGCGTCCCGCACTCCTTCGTCTTCCATCGCGGACAGATTGGGAAGAACGTGCAGCAGCTGATCGCGGACGTCCGGCAGGCGATGGAGCCGTTCACGGCCTCGTCTCTCAAGGTGACGGGACGCATACATACACACACGTGAACGGTGCCTGTACACCGGGGTGGTCATGTCAGCTGGGTTCGCCATGTGCTGATCAAAGTGAACCTGTCATATGAAGGCAAGATTGTCTGCTCTAATCACGGGCACTTGCTGGGGCGTGGGTGTCAGTCTTGCAATGCCTCATGGGACTTGTAGTTCACAGCAGCTGGAATCAGCCTCCACACAGGGAGAGCATTGTTTTCAGTGAGTCGCCGACTCTTATTATAATTCGCACAGTGAACAGATATGTGAATGAGATTCACAGCACATCACGGCCACTAGATGGAGCCGAGGAGCACAGGCGATTTGCTCTGCCTCTTCCTATATCCAGCGGACACAATGCTCTGCTGATCTCCTTCACATGGCTGTTCAGTGTGTGAACAGGTTATAAATAAACCCTCGTAGACCAGAGGTAGTGAATTATAATTGACGGCGTTACCGGGAGCAACATTTTCATGGAGCCGAGGTCCTGACAGAGCAGCCACTCGGCCCGTTTCTGGACCACGATCCACCGTTTAAGCTGCATTCACACCAACAGCTGCAATGCAAAGATGCCGGTGCGATTTCCCAGACACAGTGCTGATGCATCCATCGCGGCAAATCACTCTTCTTTTTTTAGAACTTTATTGAAATGTCACAAGTGACATTTCTTTAACCTCTTGCCGTCCGCCCGTTAAGAAAAAACGGACGGACGGCAGACTCGCATCCGCGGGTTGCCGGCGTCAGAAGGCATTTTTTTCCTGCTCGCGCGCGCCCCCTAGCGCGTGCGCACGGGCAGGAAAGACCCGCTCGTTACTACAGCCGTTAACGGCTGTTTCACATACAACCGATCAGCGGCTCTATAGCCGCCGATCGGTTGTATGGCGTGCATTTCGGAGCTGATCAATCACTGATAACACTAAACTGATGAGCGGTAAAAGCTTTTAATGCGTCGCCTGTGGCCAATTTTGGTTAATGTAGTTTTTTGAGGTTTCGCGCGCATGCGCAATTTTAAGGCTTGACATGTTTGGTGTCTCTTTACCCGACGTGACCCCGACTTTTATATTTTACCAAAAAATTTGGTAATGTTTTAGAATTTAATATAGGGGGAACTGTTATTTTTAAAATAAAATCTGTAGTTTTTCCTTAATATATTAAAAAATAAAAACCCCAGTGGTGAATAAATACCACCAAAATAAAGCTCTGTGTCCCCAAAAAAGGGACCAGAACCCCCAACAACCTCAGGAGGAACCCCGGCGGGGAGTCGCTGATCTACGTCCTGAACGCGTTGCCTGGTTATTGTTCAGTTTCAGTATAAATCTGTTACAATGTGAAGTTTACACAGAGGACGGATCTTCCTTGTGGATTTGTTGGTCATCGTGACTCTGACTTGTGTTCCAGGTCCGCAAGAACAACAGCCTGAAGGACTTTGTTGCCGTGGCCGGTCCCCTGGGAGTCACCCATTTCCTGATCTTCAGCAAGACGGAAAACTACATCAACTTTGTAAGTGACGAGTCGTGGAATCCCCGTTCCCCCCCTCATCTAGATTTGTAGTTTTTACTTTTGGGTGGAGGGTTGAAGGATTAGAGCTCCTCTCGGGTTTTACTACAAATGGATAACGGTGCAGCGTGATCTATACACGAGAAATGATAAAGCCGTGATCCGGTGACCGGTCAGTCTTGTAATGCCTCATGGGAGTTGTAGTTGCACCACAGCTGGAGAGCCGGAGATTGGCCTACCCCCGCTCTAGGTTATACCTGATGGGCTGTTTATGATATGTGAGACCCTCCATGTTGTTCCTGTGATTCCACTCATTATTTTATTTATTTTTTAACAGAAATTTGTCCGTGTGCCCCGAGGACCCACGCTGCATTTCAAGGTGACCCAGGTGAGTGTCACCTCCACGTTCTCCCCTCCCCCCTCCCTGAGTGATGATAAAAGGGGGTCGGGATTTCTGGTCCTCCCTGATTGCCACGTTTGCTCCGGTCTTACATACAAATTCCTGAACCTCTATGGTGAGAGTAGAAGTTCAGAAGGAGCAGTGCTGAGCTGCAGGGGCAATGTGCGCTACAGTATAGGTGAGCTCTTCAGCTCCTCGTCTGGGGTCCGGGCGAATGGTGAAAGTTTAGAAACAAAATAGAAAATTAGGTCCCCGGTAGCTTTTTCCTAGAGGAGTCTGCTAAGGTGGAGGATCTGGTGCCAGGAGAGGAGCATAGCCCATGGGGTGTCCTGTCTAGGGATGCACCGATACCACTTTTTTAAGACCGAGTACGAGTACCGATACTTTTGATCAAGTACTCGCCGATACCAATTACCGATACTTTTCTTAAAGGGACGGGTCACATTTTTTTTCTAAAGCAATACAAACTAATGATTTAAGGTCACTTTCTTAATATTATGATTCATGAGATGACAAGGGAGCATGACGCCGGCTTCCCGGCCAATCAATGCCGGGCGCTGCGTCATTACACGGCGCCCGGGTTTGGAATTTGCTGGCTTCCTGACCAATCGGGAAGCCGGGCAGCGCGTCATTGCACGCTACCCGGCTTCCTGATTGGCCGGAAAGTCGGTTCCATGCTCTCTCATCACAAGTGAGGAGAGAGCATGGAGCCGTTTCCTGACCAATCAGGAAACCGGGCAGCGTGTAATGCCGCGCTGCCCGGCTTCCTGATACAGGAAGTACTCGTGCTATGTATCGGAGCATTTGGACGAGTACGAGTACTCACTCAAATACTTGGTATCGGAATCGGTGCATCCCTAGTCCTGTCCCATACCCCAGAGCTCTACAAGTGTTCCGGATCTTGTAGATCTGGATTAAAAGGCGTGGGGGATGGGTCGGCTGTCTCTTCGGGTTGTTAAAGATCAATTTGACATTTTCTTTTTGGCGTAACCTACAACTGCACCGAGGTTTCTGTCAGTCATCAGGTAGCCCAGCACCAGGCACTCACTTTTTGGCTGCTTTTGACTGTTTAAAGTGGAAGTTTTTGTTATTTACCTGTCGCCATCCCCAAGCATGTAATGCGTGGTGTTGGTAGACAGCATCATGGTCATCCACATGCGTCCCCCTTGTTGGGATATCACTGTTAGGCTGGGCACACACCTTACAACCATGGTAGGACTTTTGTCTTGCGATGGTTGTAAGGTACTTAAAAAAACGTAAGATCTGCCCATCTTGCACAGGCAGATCGTACTTGCGATGATCGCAAGCCGCGCCCCCCTGAGGGGCGGGCTTCCGACGACCGTAATGCCGAACTGGTGGTGTCCGCTTGCGCATGTGTAGCATGCTACACACCCGCCGAACGTCGTACGATGCTCGGCGGGTTTTCGAACGTGTCCGTAAGTTAAAAGTCGTGCGACCGTACAGTAGTAGAGGTCGCACGGCTTCCACACACCTTACCATAATCGTACGATCGCGGGATTTCCCGCCATTATCGTACGATTTATCGTAAGGTGTGTGGGCACCCTTAGTACTTTGGGTGGCGTCACTGCTGCTTTAGAAGGTTCGTTCCTGGTGTCCCGGGATCTTCACACCACATCATTTTATCCCTCATGAAGGAGCTCGAT